AGAGCACGCAGAGCTGCTTGAAACCGCACTCGCTCTGGTAGTGACCCGTGCGCCCGCAGCGAAAGCACTCTGGCCCACCCGCGTCCTCGGCGGGAATGGGCTCCGCCGCCGTGCCCTTGGAAGCGGAGGGCCTGGAGACCTTGGAAGGAGCCGACATCGCCGGCTTGTGCTTCTTCATCTTCGGCTTGGAGTAGGTGTCGCCGACGCGGTCACCACCGTAGGGGAGGAGAGATTCCTTGCGCTTGAGCTCCGGCCCCTTCATCTTCGGCTTGGAGTAGGTGTCGCCGACGCGGTCACTACCGTAGGGGGGAGAGATTCTTTGCGCTTGAGCTCCAGCCCCTTCTTCTTGTAAGCCTCCTTCTTCTTCTGCTTCCTCTCTTGTTCCTTGAGCCACCAAGCTGGGGGAGGCCCCCAGTCTCCCTCCTCGCCGGCATGCTCCGCCGCACGCGACTTTGATTAGGCGCGCAGATCTCGCTCGCGACGCCTCTCCGCCTCCAGATCTGGCTCCGCCCTCTTGTCAGCACGCTGCTCCGCCTTGGAGCCCATGGCAACCACCTCGGCGAAGGACCGGAGAAGGGGTGGGGGAGAAGGTGGTGGGGAAAGGGATCGGGCGGATCCACCGAAGCGCCGCACCTCAGATGGAGTGGCTGGAAACCCTAGTGAACTGTCGGAGGCCCCGTGGCGGATCCAAAGCCACTTAAGTACTGCCCGCTCCGAGGACGGGCCAGACTTGGGCTTTTCCGCGCCGCCCCGCGACTCTGAGACCGTCTCCGCAGAACTAACGCCCTGGACCGCGCAAGGCCCAAGTAGGCCCCCTTGGCCCACTTCCTGGGCATGGCCCACCGGCCCAGTCCGACCAGCCTCCCCAACCCTAGGCCAGGGATTGGCCGCCTCCTCCGACGCCGCCGCCGCCCCTACGCCCACCGGCGCCACCGCCCCAGGCCCCGATCTCCGCGGAGTGGAGGCAGCCCGCGTGCTGCCCGAGGCCGCCCGCACGCCCCCCATCAACGCCGCGCGCACCAACGGCGCTCGACCAGACACCCCTAGTCGGCGAGCACTGCGGCCGCCGGGCGCAAAGGCCCGTCGCCGCCCGACCATGAGCGAGCTCCCTAGCTCCTCAGCCCGAGCCACGAACGCGCCCAACGACGGCCGACTCGCCTCGACACGCCGAAACTCGCCATCGCTCGTCTCCGCCTCCGAATCCTCGTCGTCGCTTCCCGCGGCCAGGGCCCAGAAGCGGCTCCCCGTCCAGCGCGGCGCCGCCTCCGCATCCGAGATCGCCTCCGGGGACGCCCGCGCCGACCGGCCCAGCGTCCGCACCACCGACCAGGGCGACGGCTCGTCGGGACCAACGAGCAGAGCCGCATCGCCCGCCGCGTCACCACCCGAGTCGCCAGTCCGTACCAGAGCCGTTGGACTCATCTTGATCTCATGACGTGTTAATTGTCACACGCAAAAAAATGACGTGTTAATTGCAACAGTTTTCAGAGCTAGCGTAGGTGTGCTCTCTGCGTGAAAATACCCTTCTTGTCGCGAACTCAAATGGACCTATCGTTACCAAAAGAAAAAGAAAAACACTAAACATCAAAATAAATAATAAACAAATCTGAATTTTTTGGCAGTGAATATTGTTGAATGTTTTACATACGTGCAAACTTTCATGAGGAAAAACATTCCAATTTCTCCGGACGAAAAAACATATCATTGCTCGAAAATAGTCATTTTGAGTATTGATTTTGTTTTTCTCGGCTAGAGCATTTATGAATGTCTTCCCTCACGATGGTATGTAAAAAAATCATCAATATTTGTTGCCAAAAAATTCAGAATTTTTTGATTCATTTTTACCATTTTTTTGTTGATTTTATTGTTCATCAGAGAGCATTTGAGCTCGCGAGCCAAAAGTCTCTGCGCGTTGTTTGCAGGCGTCTGAACGTCCGCCACGACGCCCAGCTGAGTGATCTAACCCACCACCCTTGCCGCATGTTCCGCTCTAGAAGCCACACCACGTATTGAGTGCCGCTCAGGGGGACGTGACCTGACGGACGGCGACTTGTATTCCTGCCGACCGATGTTACCGGACAGCTGACCCGGAGATGCTTCAATGCAGACACCGCGACCGTGAACCCTACTTCGACCGTTGTGGCCACATTAAAGCGGCATCAGTCTGCTTGCCCTGGTTATTTAAGCAAAAAGGCTGCACCTCCAAACCCTATTCCATCTCCTTCGCACACTGCCACTTCGCCTCTCCTATCCTCTCTATTGCACACTACCGAGATGGCCAAGTCCATGCCGACAGGAGGATCGGCGGGGAGTTCTAGCTCGTGGAGCCACCACCCACAGTCCTCGGGTCCACCACCCTGACGGGCCAGACGAAGGTGGTGCTCTCCTCGGACGATGAGGAGCAGAAACAACCACCAAATCCCACCAAGGTTCTGCGGACATACGATGAGCATGCGTGGTAGTTCGAGCCGCTGCTTGATTGGAAGCTCTTTGACCACGGTCCGACACCACCTTCTGTTGGAGTTGTGTTGAATATAGTGTACGAGGTAGGTTACAGTTGGACTTGTAGTTGTACTATGTTTAGATAGGATATGGAGTCGTGTCCTAATAGGACACTTGTATCCTAGGCCTCTCATATATAGCGGGGCTAGACACACGATGTAACCTATGCCAACATAATAGCACAGGCGCGCAAGGGGGAGCCGGCGGCGTGTGCCGGCGCCCGGATGGCCGGTGTGCGGTATTGTGACGGTGTCACGGGGAGGAGCGCCCGTAGTCAGGCCCCGGGGATGTAGCCATATCGGTGAACCTCGTTAACAAATCTCGGTGTCATGCTTGTGTGATTGCTTGGTCCTCGGTTGATCGACGGTATGCCTCGGATTTATTCTAACACCTTCGCCGCCCAACCACGGCATACAAATTACCGCATTAAGGAGGAGTCGGTGTCGCACCACAACGTTGTGTTAAGGCGTAATCGGCGTCCCCATCGCGTAGCCAGTACGGGCACATTGTCTAGTCGGTGTCCTCGCCACACCGTTTGTTCCGGCGCAGTAGGGAGCAGGTGCCGCCATCCCCCCGCCCCCCATCAGCGTCTGGTCGCCGTGAAGATGAACGAGGAGGTGTCCGGCCCAACGATAGCCAATGCGTGCAGACACCTCATCTACTACGTCCGACGTGGCGGTTACGCCTCCTCGCGCGCCATGATGGCGGCTGAGTAGGCACGCTAGGATCGGCACAACATGACGCACCAGGCGGCGTTCTCTACGTTCGACGTGGCGTCAGTCTGGATGCACACCGACCTGGACCTCGCGTTGCCTGGGCCGAGGATCGGTCCACGACCACAACGCAGACATTCACCCGCCGCGGGTGTCAAGTCATCGACCAACTTCTGAAAGTTGGTCTGAGTAGTTTGAGTGCACCAACATCGCCCTTGCCCTCGCCATCAAGGGCAAGGATAAGGAAGAGGTCGTGGCCGCAAGGCTAAGGCAGCCGGGCAGCGGCCAATCAGGGTTGCCGCGACCCTAGGAGGCCTCCAGTCACTCGAATGACGAGATAACAAGGATGACAGCGGCGACAACGATGAAGGTGCCGGCGGCCTCGAATGCCATGCCTATGATGTCACCGTCCGGTACCTCATTTAATTTAGTTTTAGGTTTAGTTTAAATTTCTTTCAGTCTAGTTAAACTTTGTTCAATTTCATCCTTTTGTTGTAAATGTATCAGAATTTTACTAATATAATCTGGTTTACATGAATTTCATCTGTTTTTTTTTCCTAAATGATGTCTACGAACACATTCGGACGTGGCAGTAGGTGTTTGATGTGTCCATTTAGATGCACATTGCCTTCACGTGCACCAAAAAAGAAGTACGAATCTGGAACCAGCAATGTCGGCGAATGCACATATATCCCTATTTTTAATTGTTTGGATTGCTTACCACTTGTGTCACAAGGTAAGATGCGCCTATTTTTTAGTTAGGCTTGCACATGCAAAAGGTACCGAAAAGGCGAGTAGGACAAGGATACAACAGCGACGGGCTCAACCACTAATCAGGCACTCTAGTCTAGCTACTTATATATACTGTATCTAATCTATGGTGTCAAAAAAGAACTATCTCAATCTAAGCACGATTTTGTTAGTCTGCTCGTACGGAACGCGCGCGCAAGCTCCGATTCATGACCGACAGTCTATCATATAGGCATCCGTCTCCACTGATTCCACGGCTTCACGATGTTTCCATTGTTACCCAAAAATTATTTCACCCTGCTTTCTAAATAAAGCAACTATGCAAGCACACAAAATCCAAACACAAAAGTCAAAATATGAAAAATATGTTTTGCTGAGGACATAACTTAACAAGCCAAAAAAAAAAAAAGGGCCAACAAAGACGCAAGCAGGGATACAGCCCCCTAGTCTGGCTCGGCGGAGGCGGAGGGAGGGTTGGGGCCAGGCAAAATGCCAATGAACGGAGGCTGGAGATGAGGTCATCAATGGCGCCATGCTCCTGGGACGGCTAAACGGCTTCCACGGCTAGGTCGGCACATTGAAAACCGCCCGATCACAAGTCTATTAAGAATAGTCCAAAGCGTTCACACAACGACCCAATGCCGAGTCGCCTATTGTGGCGGGACCGAGCCGAGCAGGCTGCTTGGAATTCCTCATAGAGGTCCGGGAAGGTTTCCACCACTTCACTCGTTGAACTTCATATAAATATTACTCGCTCTGATCCATATTACTCCCTTTGTTCATTTTTATAAGACGCTGTAGCCATTTTAGACAGCAGTTAAAATAGTTCAATGTGTGTTGTCTGAAACGTCTTACAAAAAATGAAGGGAGGGAGTACTTGTCGTTTAAACGGATATATCTCGAAGATAAGTAATATAGACGGGAGGGAGTATAAAGAACTTTTTGTGGGTCTTATAAAGATGTTTCGAGCCTTCGTTAAATTTAGTTGCCTATCGTTGTGCCAGAAAGCAGCTCACGATTTGTCCTTCGTCGAAGATGTTCCGATTAATGCGCGTCCTTTTCAGGTACGAACGTTTTTGGTGTGGTCCGGCAGCCCGCTGATGTTCGCTGCCTTGCTCACTTGTTGTTTCCTGAGAGTGTAGCACGGCGAAGAGCGGAGCGGCCGGAAGGGCAGGAAGCCCGTCACGCCCCCTCTCCGCTTCCTCTGACTCACGGAGGTTGGCCGGGAAGGTGGCCGTGATCACCGGCGCGGCGAGCGGCATCGGGAAGGTGACCGCCGCCGAGTTCGTACGGAACGGCGCCAAGGTCGTGCTCGCCGACGTCCAGGACAGCCTGGGCCGCGCCGTGGCCGCCGAGCTCGGCGACCCGGACACGGCCTGTTACACCCGCTGCGACGTCACGGACGAGGGGCAGGTGGCGGCCGCCGTGGACCTCGCCGTGGCGCGGCACGGCCGGCTCGACGTCATGTTCAACAACGCCGGGATCACGGGCGGCAACTACGCGGGCTCCCCCATCGAGTCCCTGGACATGGCCGACTTCGACCGCGTCATGGCCGTCAACCTCCGCGGCGTGGCCGCCGGCATCAAGCACGCGGCGCGCGTCATGGTCCCGCGCGGCGCGGGGTGCATCCTCTGCACGTCCAGCACGACGGGCGCGCTGGGCGGGTCGGGCCCCCACGCGTACAGCGTCTCCAAGATGGCCGTCGTCGGCATGGTGCGGTCCGCGGCGGCGGAGCTGGCGGCGCGCGGCGTGAGGGTGAACGCCATCTCGCCGTACGCCATCGCGACGCCCATGGGGGCGCGCTCCGCGAGGGAGATGCTAGGCCTCCCGCCGGGGGGCGCCGGCGACGAGGAGTTGATCAGGCGGCTGTTCGACGAGGACATCAACGAGATGGGCGGCGGCGTGGTGCTGCGCGCGGAGGACGTTGCGAGGGCGGCGGTGTTCCTGACGTCCGAGGATGCCAGGTACATCACCGGGCATAATCTCATGGTCGACGGCGGGTTCTCCGTCGTGAAGCCGCTCAACGTCCCGGCCTGTTGAGGACGGCGAGAATCGTGCCGGGTTACAGGAAATTAAACACAAAATAAATCTGAAGAAAAAGAAACGGAAAATAATCCTATATGACCGGATCGTACGGACGTAAACTGGAGACCCTCCCTGTGTGACAACTGGCAAACCGAATCTCAAAGCATCCCATCCGACATGTCCAGCCGCATGACATCTGAACAGTGTACTTGGGTCTCAGTTTTCAGAGCTCCGTGTACATTGGTTCATTTTTCAAGTAAAACGGAATTGAGCTGCTCTGAAAGGTTGGGATTATTTGACTGAAGATGTACCTTTCTATTTGGTGTTTGGTTGAGGAGGAACATGATAGAGTAAAATCCATTTTAAGAAAAAGTGTTTCGATCAAGATGTTTTGGTTACTTCATCATCCCAACCAAATGGCATAGTCGACCTTAGATTATTGAATTATCATGTTTTACTGAATTTGGAATATTCCTCCTAACTTTGTTTCATCATCCCAACCAAATGGCATAGTCGACCTTAGATTATTGAATGATCATGTTCTACTGAACTTTATTCAAATTTAAGCACTTGGAATCTCATGGTTCTGGAACACATAGTTTACATGTCGTTAAACTGATGGAGGCGATCCACCATTAAGCATCTGAATTGTCAACTTTGAATTGGGTTGTAATTCCTTAACACGCACTTACCACTATATCTTAAGGACAATTGTAGAGCACATATGGGTCGTGACTGATTGTCAAACTCCAAAAAAACATAAAAGGTATATCGATGAAAAAAAGAGAGTAGATAAGAAATTACTTTTCTTATACTATGCAGAATTCTCCTTTCTGCAACATCTGAGTTAGAAAATCATACTCGATAAACACTGACATAATATCCTACTCTAGAAATCTCTATGGTATTTGTTAAACTCCATATATTATAACACCCGGCCAAGTTAAATAAAATCACTAAAGAAGACACACAGACATGTAATCACACTGTATTGCATATGTGGTATAAGCAATAAATTGAGAAAGGTGAGATCGAAGCTGACCTGCTCCCTCCCACCTGCTCCTTCACCCCGGCGGCCACTCCCGCCCTGGCGTCCACTTTCCTCGGCGTCGGTCGCTCCGGCCGCGTCGCCCAGCCCGCGGCCTCGGCCATGGCCTCGTCTCCCCCACCCTCCGCCGCCGTCGGGCGCTCCCGTGAGGACAGATGGCTCGAGTCAAGCCCTTCTTCCGCCGGGTCGCCGCCCACCTACCGCCAGGTCCTTTGCCGTCCGTCATCGCCATCCCGGGCGCCCGCTCCCTCCCGTTCTCCATCCCCTGCGCCGTCGCCGACGGTCCGGGCTTCGCCGCCTGCCCCGCGCCCACCTCTCCGCTCCGAGATCTGCCGGATGCCCTTGGAGGAGGTGGACGCGCGCGTGCCTTGGCAGGTGATGGCGAATCGAAAGCGGCCCCGTCCGCGCGCGCAGGACAGCCGCCTGCGTGGCCCGGGCGTGCGGCCCCGCCCTAGGCCGTCTTGGCTCCGGGAGGGTGACTGTCCCCGGTGCTTGGGCTCCGGTCACCCCCTCTCCGATTGCAGGAAGGACATCCGCTGCCATCGCTGTCGATTCTTTGGCCACAAGGCCAAGTCTTGCTCCCTCCCCCGGGCCGTCGCGTCCTCCTCCGACGGTTCCCCCCTGAGGAAGTCCTGTTCGGATAGCCGGACTATACCTTCAGCCGGACTCCTGGACTATGAAGATACAAGATTGAAGACTTTGTCCCGTGTCCGGAAGGGACTTTCCTTGGCGTGGAAGGCAAGCTTGGCGATACGGATATTCTGATCTCCTACCATTGTAACCGACTTTGTGTAACCCTAACCCTCTCCGGTGTCTATATAAACCGGAGGGTTTTAGTCCGTAGGACAACATAGACAACAACAATCATACCATAGGCTAGCTTCTAGGGTTTAGCCTCTCTGATCTCGTGGTAGATCTACTCTTGTACTACCCATATCATCAATATTAATCAAGCAGGACGTAGGGTTTTACCTCCATCGAGAGGGCCCGAACCTGAGTAAAACTTCATGTCCCTTGCCTCCTGTTACCATCCGGCCTAGAAGCACAGTTCGGGACCCCCTACCCGAGATCCGCCGGTTTTGACACCGACATTGGTGCTTTCATTGAGAGTTCCTCTGTGTCGTCACCGTCAGGCTTGATGGCTCCTACGATCATCAATGGCGAGGCAGTCCAGGGTGAGACCTTCCTCCCCGGACAGATCTTCGTCTTCGGCGGCTTCGCACTGCGGGCCAATTCACTTGGCCATCTGGAGCATATCGAAAGCTACGCCCCTGTCCGTCAGGTCAGATTTGGAAGTTTAAACTACACGGTTGACATCCGCGGGGACTTGATCTTCGATGGATTCGAGCCACTGCCGAGCGCGCCGCACTATCTCGACGAGCATGATCTAGCACTGCCGTCGAACAGTGCCCTAGAGGCCACACCTGCATCGGCTTCGACCCTTAATTCGGAGCCAACTACACCGATCGAGGATGAGCGGTTGGACGCCACCTCGGGGGCTGCGATCCCAACGGCGATCGAGCCAAACACCAGCCCCGCACTCCGCGAGACTCGTGACTCCGAGGAGCCGGACTCCTCTCCGGACTCCGAACCCCCCGTGCCCCTGCCAATCGAATCCGATTGGGCGCCGATCATGGAGTTTACTACCGCGGACATCTTTCAGCACTCGCCTTTCGGCGATATTCTGAAGACACTGGAGTCTCTCTCTTTATCAGGAGAGCCTTGACCGGACTACGGTCAGCAAGGTTGGGATTCGGATGATGGAGAAATTCAAAGCCCACCCACCACCCACTTGGTAGCCACTATCGACGATTTAACCGACATGCTCGACATTGACGGTATGGACGCCGGTGAAGGAGACGATAAAGAACCAGCGCCTATTGAGCCTGGAGCGCCACCTCGTCATACGACGTATACATGGTGGACGCACCAAAAGATGACGACGAGGAACGGAGGGACGCACTAAAGGATTGTTCCCTCGAAAAGCATTCAAAGCGACGACGCAAGCGCCGCCCCAAAACCCGCCTCAACAGAAATAGCGATCACACAGACCCAGCGCTGGAGCAGGGCGAACCGCTGCCGGACAACGGCAATCCGGATAATCAAACTGAACAAACAAATCCTATCAAGGATAATGGTCCGGACGACATAACACCGGACAGGCACCCGGAGCAGCAGAATGCCCGTAAAAGGCTCGTTGCCACCGCGAGGAGCCTTAAAAAGCAGAAGCGAAGGCTCAAGGCCGCGCAAAACACACTCCAATTCAGATGGAGCAAAATACTCAACACTGCAGCAAGGTACGGCGACAATCGCCCCTCCAAGAGCTACCCAAAGCGGAAGCTGCTATCCGAATTCGATGAGGAGGCCTCAGACCCCCCACAACCAAATATCAAAGCAGCCACCTGGTCGGATAGACGACCCCTCTACCAACACAGAACGACATTCAATGCCGCTCACTATACAACACGCGACCCATGCGAGGGCTCGCACCCAAAGGACGGTGCAACAAGATCCATCTATGGACCACGCAAGCGCGCCCCAGCATATAATGCAACACAACAAACATCCGAACAACGCGGCACACCCAGCTACAGGGGTGCCGCACACCCCCTATGTTTCACCGATGAGGTGCTGGACCATGAATTTCCAGAGGGATTCAGGCCCGTAAACATAGAGGCATACGACGGAACAACAGACCCTGGGGTCTGGATTGAGGACTACATCCTTCATATCCATATGGCTCGAGGAGATGATCTCCACGCCATCAAGTACTTACCCCTCAACCTCAAAGGGCCAGCTCGTCACTGGCTCAAAGGCCTCCCCGAAAGCTCCATTGGAAGTTGGGAAGAGCTCAAAGATGCCTTTCGGGCAAATTTTCAAGGGACTTATGTCCGACCTCCGGATGCGGACGATCTGAGTCATATAACTCAACAGCCCGGAGAGTCAGCCCGAAAGCTTTGGAATAGGTTTCTTACTAAAAAGAACCAGATTATCAACTTTACGGACACCGAAGCCTTAGCGGCTTTCAAGCATAGCGTCCGTGACGAATGGCTCGCCAGACACCTCGGCCAAAATAAGCCGAGAACGATGGCCGCATTAACAAACCTCATGCCCCACTTTTGCACGGGCGAGGACAGTTGGCTAGCCAGATGCAGCACCAGCGACCCCAGTACATCTGAAGTTAGAGATGGAAACGGGAAATCACGGCGCAACAGCAATAACAAACACCGGAATAAAGAAGACAGCACGAAGGGCACGACAGTAAATGCCGGATTCAAAGTCTCTCGGCCAGGTCAAAAGCCGCCCCCCAAAGGCACCAGGGATGAACTGTCCAGCCTCAACAAAATTCTGGACCAAGTATGCCAGATCCATAGTACCCCTGGCAAACCTGCTAATCATACCCACAGAGAATGTTGGGTCTTCAAGCAGTCCGGAAAGCTCAACGCCGTACAGAAGGGGGAGGATACACCAAGTGAAGACGAGGACGAACCTCCTCAGCTTGGTTTTCTCTAGGAACGCGTTGAAGTTGAGGGCAACATTAGCGTGGGCCATTTGATCTACAAGACATAGTGTAAAGATTTTAGACTAAGTTCATGATAATTAAGTTCATCTAATCAAATTATTCAATGAACTCCCACTCAGATAGACATCCCTCTAGTCATCTAAGTGAAACATGATCCGAGTCAACTAGGCCGTGTCCGATCATCACGTGAGACGGACTAGTCAACATCGGTGAACATCTTCATGTTGATCGTATCATCTATACGACTCATGCTCGACCTTTCGGTCTTCCATGTTCCGAGGCCATATCTGTACATGCTAGGCTCATCAAGTCAACCTAAGTGTATTGCGTGTGTAAATCTGGCTTACACCCGTTGTATTCGAACGTTAGAATCTATCACACCCGATCATCATGTAGTGCTTCGAAACAACGAACCTTCGCAACGGTGCACAGTTAGGGGGAACA